ATGCTTGTAGCGACAGTGGAGAAGAAGAACTCCCTGTTAAAAGGTAGAAACCTCCAGCAGAACCAGGCTCAGTGTGAGCGGCCATCTGCTGAGGCCCACTGGGGTTCAAGGAGACAGAAGCAGACATAGAAAAGGCAGCTGTAAAAGGCGACCTCATCCAGGAGATCCACATTTTCAGAAAACACGCAAAACTCCACTCCTCATCAGTGTTACTTACATAAAGTTACTTACAGTTTAAATGTTTCTTACATAAAGTTTTTCATAATTTTATTAAAACAGCTTTTAAAAGGAGATAAGCTTTGAGCAGGAGGACTGTAGGTGGTACCCGATTTTTATAAAAATTTTTTAACCATATTGAGCACATATAGGGGACTTGGGGTAAAGTGCCTTGCCCATCAACCGGCGGCAGCATGAAGCTGTGATCTAACTCACTGTTTGTAGGCCTGGTTTTCATCTTGTTTGGCCTCACTGTGTCTCCAACATGTCACCCACAGGGCTTCCAGCAGAAGTTTACATTTCACAGCAAGGAGATTGTAGCCATCAGCTGCTCCTGGTGCAAACAGGCGGTGAGTTCATCTTCTCTGGTTGCTTTAAACTCTCTCCAAGGTTTACGGTTCTCCATAAATGTTCAGAGTAAAATTCCTGGTTTAAGGGATGTTATGATGCAGAAATAAAGCCTGATTGGATGTAAACTACCTTAAATGATCACTGATGAGCGAACGAAGCTGCAGCGTCAGATATCTTCCTGCTACTGACTCTCTGTTTCTGTTCCAGTATCACAACAAGGTGTCGTGCTTCATGCTGCAGCAGATTGAGGAGTGCTGCTCTCTGGGAGCTCACGCCGCCGTCATCATCCCTCCTACATGGATCATCAGAGTCCGCAAGCCGCAGGTTAGCACGCAGGTTTCCTGTTTTTATCCAATTCATTACCTTCCACAAGTCTGTTCAAAATAAAGACAGAATAACACATTCCTCACTTGATTCTGCTGTTAACTGTAGAAATAAATGCAGGTCAGTATTTACTAAGCCTCCATTCGATGGCTTTAGACTCCTGATCCACCTCTTTGGCTTCTTGTTTCCCTTTCTGTGATCCAGACTTCTTTCTGATAACTAATCAGTCACTGCAGCTGCAGAGAGGAAATTCTGCAACTGATCATCATTCTGTTTGTATTTCTGCAGACGTCTCTAAAATCCAGTAAAAAGAAGAAGCGGACGTCACTAAAGAGCAACAAGTCGACCAAGAAGGGAGCAGAGGTGAGGAGCTGCGGCAAAGACACGGTGTGATGTGCTGAGACAAATGTTGCTGTAAATGACAAACGTTCTGTTCCCCGGTGGCTTTGAATGCAGCATTTTGTTCCTCAGTAGCTTTGAATGCAGCATTTTGTTCCTCAGTAGCTTTGAATGCAGC